GACCAACTTGAACTCCAAGCTGTTTGCTCGCATGAAGCGTCTCGCCGCCCAGGCCAACGGAACTCCCTTCCACTTCATCCTCGCTGCCTTCAGGGCATTCCTCTTCCGCTACACGCAAGAGAAGGACCTCGTCCTGCTCATGGTGGACGGCAACAGGCCCCACACGGATGCTGAAGACATCAACGGATTCTTTGTCAACTTGGTTCCCATCCGAGTCGAGGACGACTGCGAGGGAGCGACCTTTGATCAGCTCTTTGCCAACTGCAAGCAGCGAGCCCTGGAGAGCTTGGCGCACTCTGGTGTTCCCTTCGACACTGTGGTCGACATTCTTGGCGCGAAGAAGACTCCCAGCCACATGCCCGTCGGTCAGATCGCCGTCAACTACCAGGTTAGTCGAACTCTATACCATCAACTAGGTTCCTTTGACTAACAATGAATAGATCCACGGTCCAACTCCCACATACTCCACCTCCGACTTCCAGATTAACAGCATGGTGACGGACGATATTCCCACTGCGGCAGACATGCAGCTCGAGGCACTCGAGACGTCTGACCACGCCCTGGACCTGCGCATCGAGTACTCCACCGCACTCTACAGTGAGGCCGACATGGAGCGCTTCCTTGACAACTTCCTCACCTTCCTGTCTGGGTGCATCAAGGACCACCGCCAGCCCATCGAGGAGGTCAGCATGTGTGGCGAGGTTGAGCTCAAGACGTTGGGAAACGAGTTTTGGAACACTGAGACCCGCGAGAACCAGTGGGAGGGACAGAGCGTGTTGGTACGGAAATAAGCGTGTCCTATGAATCCTACAAAGTATTTAGCTAATACTTTTTCTCTTTAATAAAGGACAAAATTTCCCAAATGGCACTCGAGCACCCCCAGAACACCGCGATCAAGACGTCTGACGGCTACAGCATCACCTACAAGCAACTGATTCAAGACGCGACTAGTGTGGCCTCGGAGCTTCTCCAAGCAGGTGTCAAGCCCGGTGACCGCATCGCATTGCTCGCTTTCCCCGGCGTCGATGCCATTGTCGGTCAGATTGCATCTCTCATGACCAGGAGCTGCTACGTCGCTCTCGACACCGACTTTGCTCAAGATCGTCTCTCCTTCATGATTTCAGATGCCGGTAGCCGTATCCTCCTCATTGGTCCTGGCGCTGAGTCCCTGGCTAGCGATCTCACTTCCAAGACCGTTGTTGCCCCCAAGGTGATCAGGATTACTGAAGCCGTCGGTGCTGCTCACACTTCCACGCAGTTCAGCCCTCGCCAGGCTCAGGACCCTTTCTACATGATCTACACCTCTGTAAGTTGCAGCCCTACCTCAATTGGCACAGATAACTGATGGACTTTGTAGGGAAGCACCGGTACACCCAAGGGAGTCCTCTTGACCGAGGAGAACACCCATCAGATGCTTGCGACCCTGAACAAGGACTACTGCTTCACTTCCAAGGATAGGTTCCTTCACCAATCATCCACGTCTTTCGATCTCTCGATTGTGCAGATCTACTCCGCTCTGACGGCTGGCGCGACTTGCCTGATTGCTGCATGGGAAACTCGCAAAGACCCTCATGGTCTTGCTTCCTTCATGGCGACTGAGAATGTCACAACCACTTACTTCACACCGACCCAGTTTGCTCTCCTTCTCGATCTCAACACTGAGGCGCTCAAGAAGTGCAACAACTACCGCGTCGCCTACTTTGCGGGAGAGAGATTGCCCGTCCGCGTGGCTCGCAGCTTCTACGACCTGAAGACCCCTGCGACTCTCTAGTAAGTAGAACAACATCTGCTGCAAGCATCTTGCGTCCAAGAGGCTAATCACACTACAGCAACACCTGGTCCCCATCGGAACTCATTGTCCAAACTTCCATCGCCAAGATTGAGTACCCTGCTGATGGCGAAGTCAGCCTGCCCATCGGCTTTCCCATGGACAACTGCCGCCACTACATTCTCGACACCAAGGGAAACCCTCTTCCCGCTGGCATGGTCGGTGAACTGGTCGTTGGCGGCTCCCAGGTTGGTGCCGGCTACCTCAACCGCCCCGAGATCAACGCCAAGTCTTTTGTCGAGAACCCTTTCGCCAGCGTCGAGGACCGCAAGCGAGGCTGGACTAGAATGTTCAAGACGGGAGACCGTGGCTGCTTCCGTACTTCTGACAAGCAGCTCGAATTCCATGGCCGTATTGCCGGTGACAAGCAGATCAAGCTCCGTGGCTTCCGTGTTGATCTCGGCGAGGTTGAGCAGCGCATCTTCCAGGAGTCGCAGTCGCAACTCGTTGATATCGCTGTCATTGCTCGCACCGTCGAGACCGGCCAGGAAGATCTCCAGCTGATTGCCTACGTGGTGCCCAAGAAGGCACTCAATGCCGCCGAGAAGCAGACATTCGTCTCCACCATTCACCGCAAGATCAAGCCCCATCTCAACGGTATGTCACCCGTGGTCTTTTCCCAGGGGAACGATTCCTGACTCTTTACAGATTACATGCTGCCCAACGCCTACAACTTCCTGGCCAAGCTGCCTGTGACCATCGGCGGAAAGGTCGACCGCCGCAACCTCCTCGGCAGAGACCTTGAGCTTCTCTACCCGACAACTGCTACTACCGCCAAACCTACCGGCGCAGCCAACGGTGCTTCTTCCAGTGCTGGTGACCTCGAAACCTCCGTCATGGGTCTCTTCCGCGGTATCCTGGGAGACAAGTACTCGGACGTCAACGATAACTTCTTCCAACGAGGTGGCCACTCGATCCTTCTCGTCCGTCTCCAGGCCAAGATCAAGAAGCAGTACAAGATCGCGCCCACTCTGCCCCAGATGATCAAGGAGCCCACCGCAGCCGCTGTTTGTGCTTTCATCCGCCGCAACAAGGGCGATGGTTCCGGCGGCAAGGCGGGGTTTGAGAACGTCATCAGCTGGAATGTCGAGACCAAGCTTCCCAACGACGGCCGCTACATCCCGCGGTACGGCGCCCCGCGCGTCGACCGCGACGAGCTCTCCAAGTTTCTGATCACCGGTGGCGAGTCTTTTATCGGACTGCACTTGCTCGCCGAGATCCTGGCCAACAAGCCGAACGCCACCGTCTACCTCCTCGGATCGATGGAGCGGATCGAGACGTCCCTCGTCGTGAGCGAGCTGGCCAAGTACGGCCTCATCAACGACCACAGCAAGAAGGGCGTCGTCCTGACCGAGAAAGACGTCCTCAGCCGCATCAAGATCGTCCCCGGCACCCTCTCGCAGCCCAGCTTCGGCCTCAGCAAGTCCGCCTTCCGCATCCTAGGCCAGACCGTCGAGGCTATCTACCACCTGGGCGGCCACGTCTCCCTCCTCAAGACCTACTCCTTCCTGAAGCCCGTCAACGTCTCCCCCATCTTCGACCTCATCCGTCTCGCCGGCACAGGCGACCACCTCTCCGAGATCCACTACCTCAGCACCTGGTCCGTCGCGCACCTGCAGTCCTGGTCCCAGTCCAAGCGCACCCGCGCCGACTACGTCACGGCCGAGGAGGACATGTCCCACTTCCAGCCGCCGACCGAGGACGAGTTCGGCTACTTCAAGTCCCGCTGGGTCGCTGAGAACCTCCTCTGCCACGCTGCCTCCCGCGGGTTCCCCGTCACAATCACTCGCGCCTCCGCCGTCACGGGATCCTCCCACAACGGCAACCTCGACCCGGCCGACGAGTTCACTCTCCGCATGATCCTGAGCATGATCGAGTCCGCCAAGGTCCCGCAGATCGGCCAGCCCAAGCAGCCCGGTTTCGCGGTCGACGTCGTTCCTGTGGATTACCTTGCCCAGGGCTTCCTCGCGCTGACTTCAGAGAAGGAGGCTCTTACTTCTACTGCTACCAACTACAACAAGCCGCACATCTACCACATCGGCAACCACTCACCCCTCAAGCTCGCCGACCTGCCCGAGATCGTGGCGACGCTGCGGCCCGACGGCAAGCGCGGCGAGGTCGTCTCGCTCGACGAGTGGCTCACGTCCATGGACAAGGGCAACGCCGACGAGGCGGCCGTGCGAAACACTGTGCTCAAGGAGTACCTCGCGACCGGCTACGTCATGTTCTCGCTCGACAACAGCAAGACGGCGGCGTTGTTGGAGAACTTGGTGCCCGGGCTCGACGAGAAGTGTCCTGCTGTGGACGCTGCGTTCCTGGGTCAGCTTTGGCAGCGGATTAAGAAGGCTGAAGCTGGTGCTCAGGCGTAAGGTGTGCGGTGTGCGTGATGAAACGGGCCTTGCTTGACTCTCTCTCTCTCTCTCTCTCTCTCTCTCTCTCTCTCTCTCTCTCTCTACCTTTTGTGTGAGTGTTGAGATTGCAGAATAGGCTGGTCGGTTGGTTGGGTGTATAATATTGCGCGGTTGATGGTTGTACGATACACGGCTGTAGTATTGTTTTCTTTCGTTTTTGTTTTTTTGTATCTGCATAAACCCAAGATTGTATTGTTTTTTGTATTAATATCTATACTGTACTTGTACCAGGTTTAGACGGAGTTGTTGGTCTCATCACTAGAACTAGACTGTAAAATGATGTTTATTGTGTAACAATTTTGGCATGGTTTTCTCGTGACATGTGAGCCTTTGAGGCATTGAGGCATGGAAATAAGGTAGGTACTCATCCTTCAAGAAGACAAGGAGAAGCCAAAAAGGTACGTACTAATTCAGGGTCGAGAAAGCAGGCGGGGTGGCGGGGTCCTCTCGGTGAGCTCGGTGAGCGATAAGCGCATGGGATGACCCACTGAAATTTTCTTTGGGTTCCAAGTTTCGTTCGTTTCCCCGTCGCCCTCGCAACTGGTCTCTTTTTCTTCCCTCTCACCGTCGCCCGAGTTGAAACGATTCGAGGCCGGAATTGTCAACCAAACACGATTGTGCAATCTACGGCATTTTACTAGACGGAACGAAGTCGGGAAACGGCTTACACATCCGCCGCATTTTCTCAAACATCTCCACCGCGAACGAGAGGAAGACCCTCGAAAACCTCGAGCAACCCTCCCGACCGGAAATCAAACTCTACACACACACACACACACACACACACACACACAAACAAACAAACACACAAAATGGCACAAGGCGGCGTCAAATCCGCCTCGCGCCCCGCGCCGACGGGCAAACCCAAACAGAAGCAACTCAAGAACGCCTCGCGCGTAGCGAAGCCCCAAAAGGCGAAAGCGCACTCCTCGGCGGACAAGATGCAGAAGAAGATGGCCGCGGGCCTGACGTCGCGGACGGAGAAGTTGTTGGGCGAGAGGGCGGGTCACTTGGAGCTTATTGGCAAGGGGAAGAAGGCGAAGAAGGATGATAAGAGCGGGAAGGGGTTGCAGGCGACGAAGGGGGGGAGTCGGAAGTATGGTTAAGGTCCTGTCTCCCTCCCTCCCTCTTCGCACAGTATTGAGGGGGGGCTCGGGAGGGCTCGGGAGGGATTAGGAGAGTTCTGTGGTCTTCCTTTGTGGTAGAGGATTGGATGGGCTGAAAGGGAGGGCCTTGGGACAGTGGATGAACACTTTGAAAACGGTGAAGGGAGCCCCAAGGCGAAGGCTAGCGTCGGAGAAGAGCTTGCTTGGATGGGGGTCTACAACTATGAAAAGGAAGGGGTTTAACGACTAGATACCCTCACATAATCGACAAACATGTTTTCTGTTTCAAGCCAGCTATCGCATTCACATCTGCCTAGATTTTCTCTGAAAGAACTAGGGACTTTGACGTAGGGGCATTACTTGGGGTTGAGCGGGGAGATGCCAGGCTTGAGAGTCGGCCTTCGCAACGATGCCGCATGTGCTCAGAGATACATGAAGGCAAGACGTTCTTCGGACACGTCGCCGCATCAGATAAGAGCGTATTGATTTGGGCAAAATATTCTATTGGCCGTCTGGTCATGTTTCCGAGCCGATGTGCATGCCGGTTTCCAACCACGGGAAAAATCACTGTGCGTGACTACGGTGTTACTTCTCGACGGTGTGCTCTCTTATTTGCCCCGCCCTCATTTGAAGGCCTCGACTTTATCCTCTTCCCTATAGCAGGATTCTTTTAGTCTGTACTCTACTGTAAGTAAACTTCAATGCTGCCAACAACTCTGGTGGTAAGGGGTCCAGGTGTCATGGGACAAACGCGAAGTCTCGTCTGGCGCACCGTCATCAGCACTGCGGAAAGCTGACCAGCTTCACTTCTTGATGTAACAACATTCCGGGTTCTAAATCAATTACGACAGCGAAGTGTGGTACGTAATCAGACAACGCCTTCCTGTCATGCATGCGAATGGAACGATGGATAAAAGAGAGAAACGGTAGACCAAAATTCAACTCGAACCCGTGACCTCTGCGAATTAAAAAAACAAGCTACCCATGGCATTATGTAGGACCGTGAGCCAACATACGATAGAATCAGTGCCGCTCGGCCATCGACCACAACGGACGCTGCTTGTTGAGAATCGTTCCCTCTTTGCTACCTATAAGTGATCGGATGAGGGCCATCAAGGTGTGCGAGGCACATCATGGGAGCTTCCAGTGACCATGCTGTATACCTACACCGTTCCTGTGACGGTGGAATTTACATTCCTTAGGCGTATAGTTGATTGAATACACCTGAAGTGGCCATACAACTCAGGGACCGCTAAAACATGCCATGACTGGGCTGTAGATGCAAAGATTATAGTGGAGATCAACAGAGGCAAAGTGGTTCTTCAACAAGCATCTCTCACTACCTATGGTATCTAGCATGCATGGGTAATGACCGCAAAGATCCATTTGGTCGAGCGTCAAATGCATAAAGTACCCAGCTTGAACCACCGATCGGCGTTCCGGACACATGTCCGGCTTCGGCGCCGTTGAGTCCGGAGTGGGTCCCGTCAAGGTTATCATCGTGCACTGACCCACCACTTTAACCCCGCGTCCCCGCAGTCATCGCAAACCGTCTAATTCCATCGTAAACCGCCGGCGACTCAAGAACCCCTCCATCACCACACCGGAGCCGACCGACCGGGAACGCAACGAACGCCTGCCTATCTCGCCGACACCGAGTCCACAATTTCGGAAGCTTGAACAGTATCTCATAAAGCCCAATCCCGCCGTTCTTCAACTTTCCACTCACTACCTCCCTCTCTCACCCTCTTATCTTATCTCAGTGCTCACAAAGAACCCCGCACCGTCCGCTCAACATGTCTCTCTCAAACGAAGATTGGGAGGAGCTCCGCCAAGACATCCCATCCGTCTCGGACCCGTTCATCACACAATACATCAACGGCCGCGATGCCCTCATAGCCCAAGAGCACAAGAGCCGCGCCGACGCCTCCTTCAAAGCAGCCGCGTCCCCCATCGCCCGCCGCGCAGCAGACATCGTCTCCCGCATCCGCGACGAGGAGAAACGGACGATATGGAACGCCCAGACGGAGGAGGACATCGCCACCACCGAGGGGCTGGCGCCCTTCCCGGGCATGATGTTCACGCTCGCCAAGCAGCGCCTCGAGACGACCCGGCTGTGGCGCATCGTGCAGAGGATGCCAAAGGGCTCGCTCCTCCACTCCCACCTGGACGCCATGGTGGACTTTGACTTTTTGTTTGATGTCCTGCTCAAGACGCCTGGTATTCACTTTGCTGCGGACGAGCCCCTGTCCAACGATGCGGCAAGGTCGAATGCTAGTGTTCACTTCCGGTACAGAAAGGCGGAGACGAGTTCGAGGCCCGTCTGGGAGGACGGGTACGTCCCCGGCGAGTTCCGGCTGTTGACCAAGGCGGCGGACGAGTATCCCGACGGCGGAAGGACGGGGTTCCTCAAGTGGCTCAAGGCGCGCTGCACAATCACATTGACGGACAACATGGAGCAGCATCACGGTATTGACGCTGTCTGGCGCAAGTTCGCCTCGTGCTTTGGCGTCACCAACACCATTATTCACTACGAGCCAATCTTCCGTGCTTTCCTCAAGAGATTGATGGCGTCGCTGTTGGCAGACGGCATCTACTGGATCGAGCTGAGGTAAGAAAATATCCCCGTAACACACCCCTGAAGACAACAATATACTGACCCCAGAACAGATTCACTTGGCCGCTCAACTACTGCCGTGACCAGCAAGAAGAACCGGAAAAGGACTACAACCACATGTTTCAAGTAATGGAAGAAGAGCTCGCCCTCTTCAAATCCGACCCCGCCCACGCCGCCTTCTGGGGCTTCCGCACCATCTGGACCACCATCCGCCACCTCCCCGTCCGCGACATCATCGAGAGCATGGACAACTGCATCACCACAAAGATCTCCTGGCCCCACCTCATCGCAGGCTACGACCTCGTAGGCCAAGAAGACCTCGGCCGGCCCCTCCGCGACCTCCTCCCGGAACTCTTCTGGTTCCGCAAGCAGTGCGCCCAGGAAGGCGTCAACCTCCCCTTCTTCTTCCACGCCGGCGAGACCCTCGGCGACGGCGACGAGACGGACCAGAACCTCTTCGACGCCATCCTCCTCGGCACACGGCGCATCGGCCACGGCTTCTCCCTCTACAAGCACCCGCTCCTCATCGACATGGTCAAGGAGAAACGCATCCTCGTCGAGTCGTGCCCCATCTCCAACGAGGTCCTCCGCCTTTGCGGCTCCATCATGTCGCACCCCCTGCCCGCGCTGCTCTCGCGCGGCGTCTCGTGCGCGCTGTGCAACGACGACCCGGCCATGCTGGGCCAGGACACGGCGGGCATGTCGCACGATTACTGGCAGGCGCTGCAGGGGTGGGAGAACGTCGGGCTGCTGGGGCTGGGATCCATGGCGGAGAACAGCGTGCGGTGGTCCGCCTTTGAGGACGAGACGCCGGCGGAGTGGACCGAGGGGATCAAGCAGGCGAGCCTGGGGTCTAGCGTCAAGGCGCAGAGGCTCAAGTTGTGGGAGACGGAGTGGGAGAGGTTCTGCCTTTGGGTTGTGGATGAGTTTGGCGACGAGGCGGATAAGGCGTGAGAAGAAGAAAGGGGGCGAGGCAATTCTCTTGTGAGAATGTATCGGCCAGTGGACTGTGACGTTACTCTGGACAAAGTTACATTCTTTTTTTCAAATTTCTTTTTTCAACAATCGAGACGGCGGGGTGCGTGGGGTTTGTCGCGAGAGGAACGGCGTCTGAGCTTGAACGAGGCAAACCGGGTTTTAGGCACGGGCGAAACAGGGGTATGGGAAACAATGGGATTTTCAACAGAGCGCCATGATTATTGGGTTGGGGGTTTCAAACGGAAACGGCTTGCATTCAACACCGCGGATATACTATAAAGGGCATTCAACGCGGCTCTCGGGTTGGGAGGAACAGAAATGGGGGAGGGGACAAGGGAGCTTAGAACCGAGTGTGCGGTTAGACTGCACCCTCCAAAAAGGGGCGGGGAGCTTTTGGCGGTCCATATCCGCCCTCAATATCACTATTGCGAACCATCTTGTTTCTGGTCATTTCGGACTGATGTCGGCGATTTAGGAATTATAGGATGATTCTAGACCGTCGTCATGAGGCTGGGGGTTCGTTTGTGCAAAAGGTCCCGAGGCATATCGAGATTCCATACATTTACGCGCGTGCGGTTCATCGTCACCTTTCCCCCCTCCCCCTCGTCCGGGTGCGCGGCCTAAGCTACCGCTTCTGGATAACCGTAACGCAGCCGGGGTCTCGTCTGGATTCGCCGGCATATTAGGGATGGTAGGTATGCAATGTGACGGGAAGGATGGGCGGTAGCCAATTAGATGCCGTTACCGCGCCGCCGGAGTTGCTCGCAGAAAGGGTAGGCTGGGGGGATGTCAGCATTAGCAAATCCCGGGATCTTGGAAAAAAAGAACGCAGGCCTACAGGGTGAAAGTGCTAGGATTCGGGGAAAGCTACCTGGCACTTGGGACCGGCTGCGTTTACCGAACCGATCCTAATCGAGAGAGAGAGAGGCTGAAGCGTTTATCTTGGTCGGAAATGCAGATGTGGTGTCCAGGTAACAGGTTCAACTACGCTGTGCCTTGGGCCTTCGAATCGGGGGTTGAACCCCTTTTTGGGGCGAAGGATGCATATGTTTTTCCACGATGGTACCCTCCAGATTCACTGCATGCTGTCATCTCACTGGACCGATGAGGCCTCCTTTCAGTAAGGGTCCTCTTCGGTGTGAGCTCAATTGCTAGGATGTTCTTGGGATGGCAGTTCTTGTAAGTGCGTCGAGGATAAGCCGGCCAATGTTTTCGACACTTGAGCACTTGAGTGAAATGGAACCGTTGAGGAATCCGTACGATGCTACTGCTGTATAAGCCAAATGCTCGGTGATCTAACAAAGATCCGCCACAACATGATCTATTGCTTCATACCAGGTCTGGCACATACGATCTTTCCCTGAAGAAACCATGCGGCACGTGGGTTCCTGGAAGCACTCAGATGAAAGTAGAGATAGCATGCTAGAAATACAATGAGAGAACGGTGCCTGGCTTTCATTAGATCGAAAATGCCTCCCGGCTTAATACACAGCGAAGAGAAAGTTGCCCACTATGATCCTGGTCCCCAGTTGGGTTCGAGCCACGACCTGAAACTGACTGGACGAAAGTCGACGGCTTCATTCAGGTTAGCCTGACGAAAGTCATATCGACCATCCGCCGTAGCTACCAGACGCTGGATATTCCACCACTGGTCCCAGTTCTGTCGTTGTAAGTAGTGTGTAAGCTCGCTCTGAAGCTTGGAGTACTTTCGAGTACGCAAGGTGAATGCCACTATTATTTCATTAGCCCGTATAGTCTCGGAATACCTCTCAAGTAGAGGGCTAAAGATCACTCACCACCTCTCACGTTGCTGCACTTTGCAAATATGTCACGAACCGACATCCTGTCCCCTCTCATCTTGAACTCGCGAGGCCATGCCCCAGGCCCCAGCTCAATAGCAGCAGCAACAAACCGAGCCACGTCGGCGACGGAGGTCATGCAGACCTGGACAGGTCTTCCAGCGCTGTTGGTCTCGACAATATCTGCAGACGCATTCCCGACATCGACGAGATAGGACCCCTGACTCCCGATGGTAGCGCGGGCTCCCATGCCGTACTCTGCCAGCCCGCCCGGAGCGAAGCGCTCGTACAGGATGCCGCAGGAGAAGACTGTGTATTCCATCTTGCGAGACTTGGAACTGGCGCAGTGTTTCAGTAGCTCTATAGCTTCAGAGGAGCCGTAGTCGAGAGGATCTGCGCCGGATGGTCGGTGGGATATCGAGCCTTCGAACTCTGCGGGGACGAAGACGCGGACGCGGGCGTGGCGCGCGGCGTGGATGACGTTGATTTGTTCCTGTCCGCGTATCGTCGAGATGACGAGATCAATACCCTGGAGGGCGAAACGAAGGCTTTCGGCATCGTCATAGTCTACTACGGCAACTTGGCAGTCGTAGCGTTCTTCTAACTCTGGTTTTGACTGTGCCATTCCTTAGTGACTTGGTCTACTCATTTGTCCTCGTTACTTACTTCTCTTGATAGAATTATCACAGGGTTCGCTGTTTGTGTGATGTGATGGGCTAGGATAGCTGCGAAGCCTCCACCACCCACGATAGCTATTCTCATCATGGCTGTGGTATGTGACGTGTATGGCAAATTGAGACTGATCAGAGTTAGTCTCCAGGATTCGGATCCGTCCAGACTTTGTAGTTTATCGTTCGTCACTGCTAGGTTTCGGATTCAGACTTACCTCATATATGTCATTCTCGTAATAAAATGCCATAGTAGTCAACGGAGAGTGCCGATGAACAGACCACACCACTAGGGAATGTGCGAAGTGACTCAAAGACGTTATTGGGATACGACTGGCTGTTTCGATACAAGGCAACAACACGAAAAATTCCATACGAGCATATCCGTAGCCAATCCCGCGTCCAAAGCAAAAGCTCCAGCGACTAGAGGTCAACTTCGAATTCAATCGGGTTCCGGTTGTTGACGTGGACAGGAGACGATTCTCTTTCTCGAAGTTGTAAGCCAAGAGGATAGAAAGACGCCTTGAAGTGACTTCGAGAAGGTGGTGGGGTCCGAGTTTGTATTCAGTTCACATCGACATCGTAATCGGGGTGACGTCTGCTGACTTGCATACCGGTGAAGGCGGCGGACAGAGGATAGCTAGACTAGTGGAAAGCAATTAGCCCCTACGGAGACGGAGGTCAACTTTCCAAGGGGCGGCCATCACAGGTTGTACCTAATGCCAATACTGTCAGAGGGTGTTCAGAGTGCCGTTTAGCATGCGCCGCAAGTACCTGGCTGCGTGGGGAAAGGCGCAGTGCCGTGGGCCGATGTCCCAGATGACCGGGTTGCAGGACGGCTAATCTCATCCCGCTGCGGCACGGCTGCGGGAATCAGAGACACCTCGTATCTTGCTTCAGAGCTTGATACGATTACCGACTTACGTTCATAGTTTCTGCAATTTTCTTGGGCCACCAGGAAGTGCGAGCTTATGTTGACCTTGGAGGAAGACGAGACCCAGACTCAGTGGAACGGATGTAGATGTTTTTGGCCCGAGTAACAACAATAAACGAGTACTTTGCGTCAGAAGAAGGAACTTCAAGGTGGCGAAAGTAGTCCAGTAGCTTGCAGAGATATCATTGTTCTCCGAGGTGGGTTGGGTGGCGGGCTAGAGCCAAGCATGTGAGCAGGAGACGACGGTCCCCAGGTTGAACTCGACACCCGAGGCAGATGACCGAGTCCGCCTGCATGTTCGATATGATGCCTCAATGGACGGCAGCAATGCGCCTTGTAAGTTGGTGTGGTGCGAGAATCTCCGCCTTGGACTTTTCATCATCGAATGGGAGGTTCCAGCTCGGCGTTGACGGCCAAATACCTCCACCTCACCGAGCCTCATCCGGGGGATGAAACAAGATCAGCGCCGTGAGGAAATCAGGGTTGTAGAGTAATGTAACGGCAGCTAGCGTAGCATTGCCGCAACGGTGCAAACGATTGGGAAGCTGGCAACCTGGAGTCGAGAGAGACTGGAATCGAAATGGACGACGCGCTATACATGGCTGCCATTGGCGCACACCCCTGCCAGGAGAACAGGCTACCCTGCGCAAGACTCAGCCACGAGACTGGATGCCTAGCTTGTAGCATTGTGATACAATGGAAAGTACTTGGACAAACCATTGCGATGTAGACGGAAATTTGGTGGTATGGCGACCCAGAAGTAGGTACTTGGTGAAGGAGGGGAGTTGAGAGATCGAGGTGGGATCCGTTTCGGTACGTAGTCCATCCAATCGTTCAGCCCTATGCATGTGTGCCTCAGACATTCCCCAGGGATCGCACGCCCCAGCCGTGCAAGAACAGCCAGGGGCTCCCAGCAAATCCGTGTTCCTCCGGGCATCGTCAACCGGGAACCAGTTACCCAGCTCTATCGATCACCCGGCAGGAACCGGACTGGACCCAGCCATCTCGTAATTACCCATTGCGTATCTTGGCATGTTGAGACCGACATGTACGCCTTATCAAGCCCTTCGGCGAGCCAACTTGAGTAAGGGCGTTGACGACATTCGACCCTTACCTGGGCAGACTGGTCTGTGGACTACGACACCTTCTCCCGCCATTGAATGTGGACCCTGAAGTGGCAAAAACGTCTCAACAGGACGACTGTTCTGGGATGATAGTACATAGGGTTCGCCTGCCACTAGGTAGCGCTTCTGGATGTGAACTTGCCAGTAGATGTATTGTTATTCTGGTAAGTCCTAAAATTAGTCACAAGATTCCATAGCTTAGCAATATGGCATCATGCGAATCGTAAATAAACATGAAAATGCGGTAGATCAGGCCGTCGACTTGAAATGACGTTGTGGTTTACTTAGACTCGGCCTTTCTCCATGCAGAAAATCTCGGCATAGCGAGCTGATTCGTCGTCTGGAGTGCGTGCGTTGACGTATGCGCAATCCCTTCGTATACAGATTTCACTATCTTTAGATGAACATCTTGCTGGACTTAGTTTATTTCAAAGGAACGGTCAAGATTGATGTGCTGCGCAATGCCGATGCGACGGCTGGGGAAGCGAGAGGAAACTTGGTCGGATCTATCATTACGCTTCTCGATGACCAATTCTTCAGGACACACCTCACCGTGGATTACTTGAAACAAATGATCTTACGGTTAGTACTCACACGCGTCACGAGGTGATAGAAGACTAGAAGTAGAACAATTCATTCACGAAAGGTCCAGGCATAGATGGAAGAAACCCCTTTCCTAGACCTCACTGGCTCCTCGGCACTGGTCTATAATCGTGACCAGGACGAAGTCGCATCTCAGTCCCACCAATGAGAGTAAGAAGCCGCTATTTCATGAATTGCTCCCGTGATTCACACATGCATGGGCTTCTTTCGCGTGGGGGGTTCTAGGCAGGATATTTCAGGCAGAAAAACCAAGCCATTGATTCGGTGCCTGTAAGGTAGAATGAAGGCGACCCTTGACATGGACATTTGAGATGTCGGAAGTGAATCATTCGCGACAGCGCAGACGCGCCCTTGGTGCATCGCGTGCCTGCCAATTTTGGCAATGCCGGGGCAGAGCATGCGATTCATTCTTGATTGGAGCGCGCGAAGCTCAGACCACCAAGAGATTCGGTGAGCTCGGTGAGCCGTCTCCACCGGGCCCTCATCCCTGCCGGATAAGGTATTGATCCGTTGCCCTAGAATTTCGCTGCCAATCTTTTTTTCTCACCCACAACCGAAATCCACTTTTGGGCTAAGGAAAAGTTTCGTGAAGTGTCAAGCTCCATCTCAATCTGTCAAGTCTTCCCCTCCCCTCACCGCAACCACCACAACCAAACGCAGGATCAAACTTCTTTGCGTCCATCACATCCGTCCAAAATGGCTCCTCAAGCAGTATGTACATGACACACCGCTTTGCTGTTGGCCCAGCCCATTTCTCTTCTCTCTCTGAAAATGATGAGAGTTGAAAAGAAATGGGCGGCGGCGTGAAACAGTAGGCTAACGTCATGTTCCCCAACATCTAGGCGATCAAGCGCGCCGGCAAGGGCAAGAACCAGAAGGTTACCAAGAAGTTCATCATCAACGCTTCCCAGCCCGCCTCCGACAAGATCTTCGACGTCGCTGCGTTCGAGAAGTTCCTCCAGGACAAGATCAAGGTTGAGGGTCGCGTCGGCAACCTCGGCGACCAGGTCCAGATCTCCCAGCAGGGTGAGGGCAAGATTGAGATCATTGCCCACAACGAGCTCTCCGGCCGCTACCTCAAGTACCTGTAGGTTTTCCACATTTCGTTACGCGCCAGCGAAGAATTGCCTCTAGATGGACAAATTACTGACACGTCGTTCCACCCGCAGCACCAAGAAGTTCCTCAAGAAGCAGCAGCTCCGTGACTGGCTCCGTGTCGTCTCCACCTCCAAGGGTGTCTACGAGCTCAAGTTCTTCAACGTCGTCAACGACGAGGCTGATGAGGACGACGAGTAAACGGTTTCTATGCACTAGTCAGGTTAAGGTTACTTGGGTCGGCATGGCACTGGAATTTTGGCAAGGTTAAAACGGAATACCAAAAGTTAGCACCTTCGTGTGCCTGTTGATCTGCCACTTCATCTCCTTGTTTTTGAAACTCTCTGTGATGCATGCTGTGAGGTGCGATTCTGATTCCGATCCTGGGTATCCTGATGTCTATCTATGGCTATCGGTGCCCCTCGAACAAAGTCTCGTCTATAATGCAAGGTGACAGCCCGCACATCTACTCCGGCAGAGCCCGCATAACACCCTCAAATGCAACCAACGCCATGGCATTAGCCGGGAACGCTCTCAAGAAACACGGCAAAAATCCGCGCCAGTAGCCCTTCCACCCCGTCTCCCGATATACCGCCCTCGCAGCATCCTTCCACCTCCTAAACTTTGGCGTACCGTCATTGAGCCCGCCACCAAGAGGGTCCGTCATGATGCGCTGCTTAATCACGTCCGACGGATAACTCGTCAACCAGAAAATCTGCGCACTCAGCCCGCCCGCCCAGAAATTGACCGCCGGCACGCTGAGGTTCGTGTTCTTCTTAAAGTACTTTGAAAACACATCATAGCTGCCCCACCAACAGAAAAAGAACCCTCGAAACAGCAACGTCGCGCTGAGGCCGTGGTAGACGCCCCGAACACCGTGGTTCGCGTAAATCTTGCGCAGGCAGTCGACGGGCCCGCTGTACAGCCGCTCGGCCTTGTTGGCGGCGTACTGGATCTGCAGGCGCGCCTTGACGTGCTCGACGGGTGCGGCGATGAAGCTGACGGTGCTACCCGCCATGATGCCCGCGATGCCGTGGCCGTACGAGGGGAGGTTGTCGACGGTGCCGACGCGGAAGAGGCGCTCGGCGACGAGGCGGCGGTAGACTGTCAGCGAGCCTAGCATGACTGAGTCCATGAACATCCAGCCCACTAGCGGAGGGGTCGCGCCCTTGTAGAGACCGGGGATGCCTTCGTTGCGTAGCGTTTGGCCTAGGCATTGGAGCGGGCCGCTGAAGCGCGAGGCGTCTGTTGTTTGGAGGCGGACTTTGATTGTGTCGAAGGGGTGGCCGACTTCGCTGTTTCAGTACGGTATTTGGGAAGGCATGAGAAGGAACTCTCAGGAGGCAGAGTGACTAACCTGTGAGCTTGGCGATTCCGGAGAATACTCCGGCGACGAAGCCTTTGTAGTTTTTCACGGCCACCTTGGGCTCTTCCCTCATCTCTGCCGCCATGATGTCTGAGTGAGAGGGATTCCCGGTCGTCGTGAGGTTGCGGGCGGCAGCCATCGCATCCAGCTGAGAAACTCCAGTGCACCAGCGTTCACGTCGTCGCGGTCGAGGCCAACGGAAGTTTCCGAATGAGGGCCTTGATGTAGAAAGAGGTGTTCAATCTCTCCCTATCGCGACTTGTTGGACCTTATACACAGTCCATCCCCTGGAAAGTTGAGTTGCAAGTTGATGCGAATTGACTGTTCGTGTGTCGCTCTTCATGAATCATGAAGCTCGTCGATTCTCGCTAAGCAGAAAAGGAGCCGATTCCGAGGGGCGTGGGGGAGCTAATAATCGCATCGAAGCTCGTGCTGATTGGTCAGAGCATAGTGCATGGCGCACACCCTGGCACCAGGTTTCCTTGTGCGGATAGAGAGACTCGGTCTCCATCATTCCTCCACGGGGTTATCGGGGAACGAAGCCCGAACTTTTCACCTCGTGGCTTCAGCCTTCTCATCAGAGGGGGAAGCGGTGATTACGGACAGTTCGGTGCTGACTGAAACGGTACTTTGTGGGTTCTGTCTTGCTACTGTACGCTTTATCGCATCAACCTGTCACAGCCCGTAGTAGTCACTGTATCTACAAATTTTATCACGAAGCGTACACTCCGCGGATCATTTAAGCCTATAAACCACACACTCATAAGATTAGTTGGTAGTTCATGGTGATAATGAAGCTCATCAGCCTCTCATGTCAGTAGATATAGTGTATGAGATCTGACCATTCATGGTGACGAGCTGGTGCATGGCAGTAGCTATAATATTTTTACACTCTTGTCCTTCCCATGTGTACTTCGAGCAACTACCTTACGACAAATCAGCTCAGCGAACTCTATTGATCTGATCTTTCCAATCACTCATTACGTGAAGAGAAGCTCCTCACAGACATAGAAAGCATCACCATCGCAAAATCTTGGAATCGAGGGAGGCCGCAGCCACTCAGCGAGGTCGCGCCGCATGCTCTGGCAGGAATCAAGCTTGTTTCGACGCTCAACCACTCCTATGTGCTTGTGCTTGGGACTCTCATCACAACCGAGATGGGTTTCTCAGCATTCTGGTTGACAGATTCCAAGAGCAGAGAATTATCGTACAATCTGTGCAACTAAAGAGCTGTGTAAGTACGGAGTACGGGTACATGGCTAAGGCATGGAGGGTGATGTAATTTGGCAGCAGACAGGGGCCCAGAGCTTCCTCCCTCCAACCCCCGAGCTCCCGGCGCTGACGTCACGTGGAGTTCACCCGAATACCTGCGTATCCCACCACGCCCACCAGACGGTAGCTGGCCATCTGGTGAATCGTTCTACAACACGACATTCCGAGTTTGCCAAAAACTCGCAAAGCTCGCCAGATCACGACGCCCGAGCAATCGATCACCATGAAAACGATTTACGCCTTCCCGGCGACCCTCGCCCTCGTCTACCGAGCTTGGTCGCACCAGTCCCTGACCCCCGCAGGCATTGTCGCCGCCGTCATTACAGCTATCGCCCACGCCTACCACCCGTGGAACCTGCCATTCGCGCTTCTCTGCACTTTCTTCCTTGCTGGAACGAGAGCCACCAAGGTACGACGCGCTTTTGCACCGCAGCGAAATGCCAGAATGCTTATCCCACTCCAGGTCAAACACGATGCTAAAGCACAAATGACGATGGCCTCACGAGGCACATCAGGAGGTGAAGGAGCACGCACCCACGTCCAAGGTCCGTCCATTAGGCCCTCCCGAAGTTGATATAGCACAGTACAACTAACCTTTTCCCCTCCAACAGTCTTCGCCAACTCGCTCATGGCCTCGTGCCTCTCCCTCCTGCACGCCTATCAACTCAACAAGCGCAAGGACGCAATCCTCGACACCACGACACCGAACCCCTCGGGCACACTCTGCTACTCCTGGGGCGGCGACCTCCTCGTAATCGGCATCATCGCAAATTACGCCGCCGTCGCCGCCGACACATTCAGCTCCGAGCTGGGCATCCTAGCCAAGGGCGAGCCCCACCTAATCACATCCCCCACTCTGCGCAAGGTCCCGCGCGGCACAAACGGAGGCGTGACACCCCTAGGCATCGCCGCCGGCGCCCTCGGCTCCATGATCATCGTCACGGCCTCTATGGTCTTCCTCCCCCTCTGCGGCGACGACAGCGCCGGCAAAGTCGGCGGTGGCCTCGGCGCGTGGACGACGCAGCAGCGGTCGACGTTCATGCTGGGCATGACACTCTGGGGTGTCCTGGGAAGTCTCCTCGACAGCGTGCTGGGGGCCGTCTTCCAACGCTCTGTGCGAGATGTGCGGACCGGTAAGATCGTCGAGGGCGAGGGCGGCGCAAAGGTCCTCATCGCCAGCGATCCGGGCGACCACGCCGACAAGAACCTGAAGCGCGCCACCATCAAAGCCGCGGCGTTTCACGGGGAAGGTAAAGGCGCCGTTGAGAAGATGGCGGGGATTGCAGACGTCAACGCTCTCGAGACGAGTGACGAGAAGAAGAAATATGACCCCGAAGACAAGCACCGTAAGCCCACCATGGGCGACGCCAAGCCCTCGCGGGTCGTGGAGACTGGATGGGACTTGCTGGATAACAATGACGTGAATTTCCTAATGGCGTTCACCATGAGCATCGGCGCCATGGGCGTGGCTAGCTTGTACTGGGGTGTTCCGATTGAGACGATACTCGACCTTTAGAGTAGTAATACCATTGTCGTGTTTAGCACATCATCTCAGAGATATGAAACGTGCCTTATATCGTCGAGGGCCACAAGCGCGATATAAGTTAGGTAATTACGTTGCCATTCAAATGTTGAACAGCCAGCCCTTACTTGTTCCCAGCCTCGGGAATGTACCTTAAATCACCGCCCTACAAGGGGATGGTATCAACTTTTTATGCTGGGGTAGGTGCGCGCAAGGCGTTGCTCATGGCAACATGACGCATAAGCTCATGATTGACACGAGCGTCCAAATTCACACGTCCCAGATATCATCCCAACACAAAAACAAGTATGTCGTTCCCCATGATCATGTCATCTGCAAAGTTAGCAAGTGACTACTAGACGTATACGTCAGAACGCTCGCGGATAATGCGACTCATCCAATGGCCCAACTAGCTAGTAAAATCAAAAGCAAATAGTTCCACCATGTTTGATCTTCATAGGGGAAGAAAGCACAAAAAGGGGATCACCATTAGGGAATCGAACAAAAAACCGAAAGGTTGGAGGGTGGTCGAGGAAGAACGGGTTCCACTGGCGCCTCCTAAACCGCTCGACCACCTGCCCCTTGCGCTTAGATTCAGTTGAGAGGAGAAGTCCCTCAAGTACGATTCCCTCTCTTTGCTGGCAGATCGGTAGAAAGGCTGGTTCATTGACCATACGCTGGCACGAATCCCTTTCATTAGCATCATCACACCTAAACAGCAAAAGAAATCCCCTTCACCCCCTCGCCCAAGCCCCAGCAATATCCTCCAAAACCCTCGTCAAAACCTCAAAATCCCCCTCAACATCAACCCTCCAACTCCCCACAGCAACCCTAACAGCCTTCCTCCCTTTCCAACTCGTCCCGCTAACATACACCTCCCTCGTCCCATTAATCCTACCCACAAGCTCCTCATTCAACCCCTCATCCCGCGCGCGGAACAGCACAACCATGTGGGTCTCCTCAACGTCCCACTCACCCTCGACGACCTCGGGAAGCAGCTCATACGTCTCCGAAGGCCGGATCCACACCGCCAGCTTCCGTGCCAGAATCACCATGCGGCCCAAGATAGCTGCCAACCCGCTCCTCCCCTCGGACCGGAGGACGGCGTAGGCTGGGAGAGCCCGGAAACGGCGCGAGTTCTCGAGGCCGATGTTGAGTGGGGAGGGGATTGTGGAGGCGCCAGAGGAGAGGTAGGCTGCGTTTGGGTTCGTGAAGACGGCTGTTTGGGTTGGGAGGGAGCGGCAGAAGAACATGCCGCAGTCGTAGGGCTGTTTTACACGATATCAGTTCCCCTTTACTTCGTATAGCGGAAAGGGGGGAAGGGGGTGGAGGGGGTGTTGATGCCAACGTACCACGTTCAGAAGCTTGTGTCCGTCTACTGTGATGCTGTCGGCGAGTTCCAGCCCCGAAGCCATCTCTCTAATCTTTGCGAATTCGGGCTTCGCCTCGAGAGCCCGAGCAAAGATTCCAAAAGCTGTGACACCACGATCGTCAGCAAAGATCACGACACACACACACACACACACACACACCCTCTCACCACAACCCATACGAAGACGAAAAGAAAAAGAATACTCACCACCATCAACATGAAGCCAAGCCCCAAACCGATCCGCCAACCCCCTCAACCTCCGCATCTCCTCCGCCCCCCCCGTCGCAAACCTTCCCGTATTCACCTCGCCCGCACTAACAGCAATAACACTCACAACCCCATCCCTCTCCCCCTTCTCCAAAGCTCTCTCCACAGCCTCCAAATCCAACCTCCACGGCTCATCAGCACTCAGGGGAAGCTCCTTGACGCTCGCCCTCCCGATGCCCACCACGCTCGCCGCCTTGGAAAGCGAACTATGCCCCATACTCGTCAAAATCTGCACACCCCTCACACCCGCACTCACACACGCCCCCAACAACCCCTCTTCCCCGACATTTCCCCCGCGCCTGGCAACGACATGTTCCCTCCCGCACGCGAGTCCGAGGACGTTACTCGCCGTCGCACCAGTCGTAAACGTCCTCCCCTTCCACACCTCCTCTCCGTCTCGACTTCCGTCTGCTCCGTCCTCGAGCCCCAACACATCAGCAAGCATCCCCAACGCAACGCTCTCCACCTCAGTAGCAACAGTCTGCCCCGGCAAATGCACCTGCACATTCTGATCCAGCGCCGAGACGACGGCATCCGCCGCCTCGGCTACCGGGAGAGATCCGCCCGTGACGAAGCCGTAGTACCGGCCGCTGCGCGCTTGCCCGTTGAGGGCGGGGACGATGTCCGTGAGGATGTGGGTTAGGGTTGCTTCGGTGCCGAGGGGGGCGAGGTAGTCGGCGTTGGTGGTGGTGGTGGACTCCTCTCCGTCCTTGACACCGGCGCCGTGAGATGGTCGTCGGGGGAGGGATGCCGATGCGGCGGCGAGGGAGACTGGGGAGGGGAGGGTGGGGGCGTCGGGGCCGTCCGGGAGTGCGGCGCGGAGCCGGGCTTGGAAGGCGGGGGATGTCATTTTTGGTGTTTGGTTTGTCGGGGGGTAAGTATGCGGTGGGCGCGGTTCCGGGTCTTCGGGGTTGATACGAAGGTTGTAGAAGATCAAGTGGCAACAATTAAATCTATAAAACAGCCAATGTATGTGAGTTCTAGTCGTGTATAGGGTTACCTTATGTAACAGAAAAGAAAAGTCGTCTATCCGTAGTACCCTATACAAAACTACTCGTCAACAAATGGAGAACTCCTTCTCCTTGGCGTATTCGGCGTGTTTTTGTGGTTTCCGGGATTTGACTCATCGCCCCGTTACGGCGTTTGAATCCTCTTTTTCGGCCTCGGCCTCGGCCTCGCGTCTCTAGCGGCCCACGGGACTTTTAGAAATTCGGTGAAAATCCTACCGGAATCCTACGGGAAGTCACTCGGAGCTACGGCATGAGGTCTAGTGTGGAGTCAATAATAAGACGCCGACGTCAGCTTCCGATCTCGGCATCGTCCGCCGTCGCAGAGCCCCGGTTCAATCCTCGGCCGTGTGCTTTTCCAGTCTTTCAAGTTCCCCCCGCGGGGAGAGATGGGGTTAAGGCAGCAGGGTGTTTTGACAGGCAGGCAGAAAACTGTGTTAGTAGACGTCAACTCAAATAGCACAAAAGAACAGATGACACGCAAAGTCAAAACGATATCAAAACACAAAACGAGCATTGGTATATGCGTGCAGGAAAGAACCCTCCGCGGGCCATGTGGTATGAACGGGCAATCAAGGTGTGCGAAAATTCCGGACATCGTCTCGAATCGATAGTTTATCTTACAAAAAAACGGAAGAAAAAAAGAGCATGTATGTACAAGAAGAATTGAGAACCCAACCCAAGGGCCTTTTCACATGTGCCGCGCGCTTAGACTGGCAAACGCATCGGGGCTGTGTCGCCCGTTCGTCCACTGCATATCCGTAAATGCCATGCTCTCGCGACTGACGCCCGCCTTGCGCGGCCCGACGGTATTCGCGACGGGAGCCGCCATTGCCTGTTGTGGTGGCGGTGACATGCCACCACCACCACCATTCATCAAAAATGGGTTCTTGCTTCCCGCTGCCATGGATCCGCTCGCTGCCTCTTGGCTTTGTTGCTGAGGCGCCGCGACCTCGGGGTGGGCATCCTGCGTCTGCGCCTGGGCTTGGGGTGCAAAAGGCTGAGGGGCCAGCTGCGGCTGACTGTACAATGCCAGAATTGAAGCCTTGTCTGGTCGTTGAGGTTGCTGGTACGCAGGTTGCGGAGCAGGAGATTGGTATTGTTGCTGTGGCATCTCCTGTTGCTGGAACGGGTGTTGCGCCTGCTGCTGGAATGGTTGCTGCCCCGGTTGCTGGAAAGTGTTTTCTTGCTGTTGCTGGTAGGGGTTATGTTGCTGCTGTTGCTGCTGACCGAATGCCTGCTCTCGCTGGAATGGTTGCTGGTACATCTGCTGCTGCTGCTGCTGCTGTGGTACCTGCTGTTGCCCTGTAGGTTGCGAGCCCAGCTGTGCAAAGAAGGGATTGCTGCTCTGCGGCGTCATTGTCTGCGGAGAATCCATGTAGAAGTTGGATTGTGACTGCTCGGGTATCTGGCCTAGCGAAGGCGACTGGATCCTTGTCGGAGATCGAGTGAACGGGTTGTTCGCATATGGGTTTGATGATTGCCCCGTGTTAACTGCAAGGTTTTGTTGCTGCTGAGGCTGGGCCTGGTTCGTAAAGAATGGGTTGTAGCCCGTTGCTTGCGGCTGGATGGGTTGGGGATATGTCGTATTACTATTAAAGCTCATGGGGTTGTAGTTTTGCTGCTCGTGCTGGTGCTGCTGCTGGTGCTGCTGCTGCGGGATGGGAGGCGTCATTGACTGCTGGTACATCTGCTGAGGCTGGGCAAACGGCTGGGAAGCCGGCAATCCGCCTGTGTGGTGCGGGAAAAGGGGCTGCGCGGGCGCAAGGGACATATTGCCGAAAGCCTGGGCGATGTCTTGCTGCTGCTGCGTGGGAGCCCCGAACGGGTTGTTCGCGTAAGGGTTTTTGTTCTGTAGCGTGCCGGTCGATTGAGAAGACTGAGGCTGCGGCGGCAGCATGTCAAAGGGGTTGTTGCTGGAGGCTGTCGAAGGCGACTGGGGGTGGTCACTGAATGTCTGATGCGGCGCAGACAGTCCACTAGACGTTGATAGGTTTGCGTGCGAGCGTGTCGCGCGCAAAGAGCTCTCGCGAGGTCCTGTCAAAGACGGTGACCGCCTGTCGCTCTCGCCCAACCGCACCAGTGTCTCGATCGCGCGCTCCAGGTTTCCGTTCACGCCTTTCAACACCATTGCGTTGCGTTGGCCGTCGGAGAATCCCATGTCCCTCAGACTGGCCAACTTCCTCTCTGTATCTTCCTGCTCGTACGACACGCTTGCGCCAAACACCTTGGAGGGCTTGTTCGGCAAATCGCTGGGCGAGGGGCTTCGCGGCTCTCGGGGGCTCGACATGGTGTTACGCAGTGACGAATCTTTTCTTAGCCGGGATGATAGCGGGAAGATTGACGAGGCTGATCTGAACCCAAACTTTCCTCCCGACTTTGGTGGCAGCGGCGGAGGAACGCCCTCGTCTGAAAGGCCCGAGTGTTGCTTCCTCGTGGGGATGGGGATGTTGTTCATGTATTTGGTGCGGATGAATCGTTCCATGGCGGAATCAGCTTCGTCGGCATCGACGGGGACGGGAGGTCTCTTGTTATCGGGGTTGTAAATCTGGTTGGACCTGACGTTTCCGACCTTTTTCATATTCTGCGACAGACAGTTTGGTCAGGGGCGACGAATCTCGATATTGGATATGCATTTGCACAAACCTCCACTTGTTCATTAGACCAGCTGTCCATGCTCAGGGATTTCACCTTTGAGATGTGGGTTCCCAACTTTCGATGGATAGCGGCACATCTCATGCAAAGGAACACGCCCAGCTACAGTCGCACGTCAGTCTCGCTCGTCAACGGAGGCCGTCTCAATCGAATCGAATTCGTATCGATAGGGCGCATGGGGGGGGGGGGAATAGTCGCGCTTACACTCCAAGAGGCCCATGCTGCGAACTACTGTCAGTATTTGGCCCACGGTCTGAACGGCGGGAGAGCACAGTTGCACTCACCTGGGTTCCGCGCCTGACAATCGGCGCACAAGTTGTTCCCCGGTACGGACTGGACCAGATCGTGGAGGACTTTTTCGTTACGCGCCTGCTGGCGCTTGCTCAGGACACCGGCCATGTTTGGGTAGGGTACTGTGTGCGTGCAACGGTCGACGTTGGCGGCAGTGTGTCGTCGGGGGCGCGGTCTGTCGGTTCGTCGTTTTCGTAGGAAACAAGTTTGGGTTGGACAAGGCGCGGGTCGTCAAGATCGGAAGGCAGATCGAGGGGTTCTCTTCGGGCCAAGCAGGGGCGGGCGGCGGCAGGTAATTGGGCGGAAAGATGGGTTTTAGGAAGGGGTATTAAGAAACAAGGTGTACCATGGAAATTATGCACTGGGGAAGAGGGAGCCCGATGTCGAAGGTGGAAAGGGAAACGCGATGACAAACATGGCCTCAATCATGCGTGGAGAGGCTGAGGAAAACGGACACCAGCGTCGGAGAGTGAGACGGAATGAATGGGATTGCTGATGGCGGCGAACCAGGCTGCATTCGAGAAGGGAGCAAGAAGAAATGGCCGTTTGTCGACTTTGGGATCGAATTGTTTTAGATGGCCTCGGCGGCGCAATGGAGCAATGGAACAAAAGAATGCCCTCAGCAATGAAAGACGACGGAACGCTCCACTTGTGCTGCCCAAAGTGATGTGTGTGTGTCTTGGTAGGACTTGGGTGCCTTTCGTGAGTAAGGTACTTTGTAGGTAGTGCGCGACTCAGGAAAAAGGAGAGACGATCAACCTGCAAAGCAGCACACCAGATGGCATACGGTATACCAGGTGCAAGCAGCAACTTATCAAGCAGCAAGAGGGGAAAGGCCAAAGGTGGAGCCGGCTGTCTAGCCCAAAGAGGATAGTGTCAATGGACCTTGGGCTGGGGGAGGGGGGGCTCAGGGGCGCAGGCTGGCGATGGATCTGGACAAAGAAGCCTGTTGCTTCCTGGTCGTCCTGTGAGAGGCGGGAGAAGGCGAAGAGAGAGAGAGAGAGAGGCAGAGAGCGAAGTAGGAAAACAAGTAAAAATAAATAAAACCGAGATAATATCAGAGGGGTGCGGTCCCTGATGCTGGCCCCTGGGTGGTGCTGGGTTGGACTGGAAGCGTGGAAGTGGATTTGGGGCCCTCCACGCTCGGCTATCAGCGAATTACGGCCCCGGCTCAGCCTTCCGTCGTCATCTTGGGCCATTGGTTCCCGTCACGGGATGAGTGGGGCTCAGCTTCGAGAGAAATGGCCCGACATTATTCCGATGGTGCCGTGGGTCCGGGTGCTGCCGAGCACAATCAATGGACGTTCACAGATGGGGCGCGGTCCATCAACGATGAAGGTCAACATCTCTGATTCGCCTGACGAATAGGAGAGGCCGTCTATCATCTATGTACCTATTCAGGTTGAAGGCGTTTCTTTTTGCTTTTGTCAATCACACTCGTCGATTGATCACCTCGATCAACTGCACCTGCTCGAGTGCCACGCACAGGTCCCGTTTCCAACGCTGCGGTGCTGCCAGATCGAAGCCATCGTTTCAGCTGCTGCACGTCGCCTTGTGCCACCGGCTCACAACGGCCGCCAGCCAGCAAGACTTGAGATGCTGTCTGACCTCATCCGTCGCCTTGACAGTTTCCGCCTCGAGACCAATCTAGCTCTGTCTGCTTCGCTCTTTTCCCTTGGGCTAAGGATGCCTCGCTTGTTCAGTGTTCATGCCAATACTGTGCCAACGCAATTCCAATTCAGGGTAGGCAGTCAGCATGGTAGGCTGATAGCCATCCGACGAGGCCGAACAGGGGTAGTTTGGGGATTCCACTGTGTGTTGATTGTGTCTGGTAGATGAAATGCGGCTCACTCGGCCAATCAGCCAAAGTCAGCAGATGCACATCCGTGATTGCCGACCTGCCACCATTCCAGAATCCAAGGTCCTCAGCGCGCAGCTCGGGGCTATCCTGCGACCGTTTCAACGCTCTGTTCTTGCGCAATATGACGTGGGTTTGTGAGCGCAAGAGACTTCCACATCGACACAAGAAGTTGTGTTCTAGACATGTTCTGCACCTCATGACCCAGGACCTGAGAAACTTTTGGAGGCCCAAAAGGATCACGGGAGTCAACCTTCAGCTTACTGTCCCTCCTATGCTATTTTGGATCGTAAACCTCGGTTCTGCCGCATGGCAATCTCGGGCTGGTCGACAAGGCTGAGAATCCGAGCGATAAACGGGTGGGGAGATGGTGCTGCTATTCTATGCAGGCGTGGGACTTACACCTGGATCGAGTATCCGTTCGGAGTAGGCTATTGTACCCGTAGCTACTTACACGTACGCGGGTTGCCGTATCGCATCGGGTCCGTTACGTTGGCTCCCGCTTGGTGTATTCTTCGTACGCATCGTCTATCTATTGGTACCTGGTCCTCAACTGGCACATGCTTAACATGCAAGTTCCATCACTTTACCAACACAACGGTCCCCCCGCTGCATTGGTTAGCGTAAAACAGCCCAGCCTCAACGTCGGGACATGCAATGATGCTCATCCTCCACCGACCGGGCACCTGCCACCCTGCCCTCGCCCGCGCGGCCGTCCGCGGCTGTACTTACCACACCGGCACAACCGCACAGCCCGTTTATTGTCAGGGCCCAGCCAGTCACAAGCCTCGCTTTCTTTTTCCGAATGACGTCCCGCCCCCAACCAACCGCTCAGCGGCCAGGGTGCACCTCAAGAATAGGTGTTGGTGGTGTGGGTGAGGTACGAAGTGTGGCTGGGTGGTCTTGGGACGTGGGCTGCCGCTGAGTGAGGTGTCCAAAAAAGACTTCCCAAACGATTAAGGTACCTAATTGCTTGTGCTGGTGGGCCATGTCCGCGGTGCTCTCAGGTCCGTTCCGCGTACTTTATGTACCTACCTTGGGCCCGTACCTTGGAGCTCACCCACTTTGACGTCTTGCAGCAGCTCTACCTACCTTTACCTCAGACCAGGGTGACATTTGTTTCTCCCGCAGCACCCATCTCTCTTCTCTCCCTCTCATCCCATTGAAGTATTCCCAAATCTCTTTTGCCATCCACACCATGCCCCTTCAATAGCCTTGCGACTTGCACTGGAACGAGAACGCATACGGGCCCCTCAATTTCGAATTCCTTTGCGAAAACCTGCCCACGGCTTGAGCTCCCGTCGTAACCCGCAAAAATGGCGGGCATTGAGCAGTTGGAGATCCATAGCAAGGTACGTGAGTCGTCATTGTCCCCGGCCTTCCCCTTCCCCCTCCGCCGCCGCCCTTGACCATGAGCAACGGCGCATCTTGAAGGTTCTCGATGCTGATAGCTTGCTCGAAATAGTCCTATATCGTACGTTGGGCCAAAGTCGACGAAGGCCACACAATATCGTGGAGTGTTCAACCACACAAAAAGTCCATGTGCGTACCTCACTCCCTCGCTCCCCCTACGTCTCTCCTCTCCTGCGTCTCCAATTCCGACACGTGCTTACCACTCGCCGAGGCAGTAACTTTGGGATCGTGAAGCACCCCGGAGCTGGCGCCGCCGGCCTCATCACGAACCAGAACGACGATGCCGCCACCCCCGGATCCTTTACCTCTGGCGTCGCTGAGCCTAAGAAACCATTTGCAAGGAGAGATTCGAGCACAGCCGAGGAGCAGCTCGCCAACAAGGGATTCATACCCATAAAATGGCATGGGAAATGCGATGCGGATAAGGTCTCGACCGGTACATGGGATGTGCCAAAAGGCCAAGGCGGAATGTTCGGCTTGGTATTCGACAACACCTTTTCGAAGCAGATCTCCAAGACGGCCACCTTCGTCCTTCTCACCTACCCGACCGGCGCACCGCCGCAGACCACGGCCCAAAACTTTCCGAATCTCCAGGCCGGGGCGAATGCGAACATTAGCAAGACGAGTCTGCCTCAGATGAGCGCCGTCACATCTGCCTCGCAAGACAGTCTCCATAGTCATGTTGCCGCAGGCCGTCCGACTTCAGCTTCTGGCCGAAGCGATGGAAACGCCAACTACCATACCGGAGTTCTTCACAAGAGACGGAGGAAGAAGGGCCAGGGTTATGCGCGCAGATTCTTCTCGCTGGATTATTCCTCTTGCACGCTCTCGTATTACTACAACCGCAACTCGTCTGCACTCCGCGGCGCTATCCCTCTCAGTCTTGCTGCCATCGCAGCCGACGAGCGCCGTAGGGAAATTAACATTGACTCGGGCGCCGAGATCTGGCATCTGCGGGCTTCCAATGCCAAGGAATTCAACGATTGGGCCAAGGCCTTGGAGAAGGCGAGTCGCGCGGCGAGGGGCGTGGAGGAGCAGCAACCCAACACACTCAATGCCAGAGCAGCGCCCCTGAGGGTCAACACGACGCATCTGAAGCCTTCGCAGTCAAGTTTGGAGGAGGATCGCGAGTGGCAGCAGGTTGAGACTCTGGTCAGTCGCATGGTTGGCACCAGGGACGCTCTTCGTCGCCTGGTTAAGGACATGTCGAACCAAAGGCCTGTCAGCATGGCTGCTTCGACCTTCTTGTCGCCAGGCGCCTTGGGCGAGGAGCCAGACAGCTACTTCACGCCCCCCGCAGCGACAGAACAGCCGCAAAGGCGCCCATTCTGGAAGCGTAAGTCTAGCAACGCTACCCCGACGGCATCCACACCCCAGGCGCATCACGCCGCCGCCGCTGCCGCTCTTGCCGTTCCTTCTCCGGGTACCGTCACGACGACAATCAGTGCGAATGGACCCCGCCATTCAAAGTCAAAGTCGAAATCGTCTGTCCACGAAGAAAGGAGCACACAAGAGCACTGTGCGGCACTCCTGAACGATCTCGACTCCGTTGTGTCTGAGTTTACGACTTTGATTGTAAACAGCAAGCGCCGGCGATCTCCCGCCCCCTTGTCTGCAGCACCCTCTAGGAGAAGTATGGAGACAGTGTCGACGGAAGAGTTCTTCGACGCAGAGGCCGGGGAGACGAGCTCTCAGATCGTCAGGATCGCTCAGAGCGAAGACGAAAGCCCAGACTCGGATGCGGACGAACGTTTAAGTGACTCTTCGTCCATCTCATCGGCACAGGAGGACGAGGCTATAGGCTCAGAGGACACCGACTGCTACCCAGCGAAGCCCA